CAAGAAGAAAGCACCCCTGCACACCAGCACCACAAGCTCTGCTCCGTGCAGTACCCAGCAGAGCGGTGCCAACCAACTGCCCTGCCCGAGCAGCACCCACAGCACACCGGGACCGGCCCTGTGGCTCCGCACCCCACAGCTGGGGTGGGAGGAGCTGTACTGGAAGCCTATCACACCTCCTCGTCACCCTTCCTTATACCAGCGAGCCAGAAATAGCCATTTTTATGAGCACAGAAAGCGTGCTTCCGAAGGTCACAACCCATGATCGCAAGGGGATTTACCGTCAAGGCGGTGACTCGGGCTGAAAATCGCCGAGCGAAGCTTGTGGGGCCGGAGCTGGCGAGACGAGGAACTTCCTCCTGGGCACGGCCTTCTGCGGGAAGCGAGGTTAAAGGTCCAGGATCACAGAAACACTTTGAAGCTGATTTCTTTGCTCCTTGAACACCAAGACAGCAATCCTCTGGTCAATAATCCTCACTGAGATGATCTCCAGGCGAGCCGTCCTGGGCACTTCTGTCTTTTTCCCTGCGGCCGCTGGGGTAAATCACCCTCTCACCCTCTCCAAGTGCCCCCTAACATCGCTCGCTGTTAGAAACCTGCACCCTACTTCACATCAGTTTGATATTTATACACACTCAGAGACATTATTCAGAATTCAACAAATGTTGAAGGGTTTCGGATGAAAAAAGTGTGCTTGTTAAGGGCTCTTTAGGATCCTTACACACCGCAAATGCTCCTTGTGGGTTTTCTTCTTTATTTTGTGACTGCTGGAGGACGCCCAGCTAAAGAGAATCCCATGAAAAAATTGTCTTCCTCTGAGTCTCCTTGCCAGAAACGCGTTGGAGAGGTTCAGCTGTACAAGAACAGAAACAGCTCCTCTTCAACATCTCAACAAGTTCTTCTTTGACAGGAATTAAGAATCCCTAAGTTTAAGCAATAGTTTTTAGACCAAGACGCAAAATCCAGGAGACCCTACCTTTAAGTGGCTCATTTGGAGACTTGTTCTTCCCGGGGAATGAAGTTACTGGCTGGGAATCTGTCACCCTTTTTCCAGCTCTATGTAGCTCCCACTGCAGTGTCACCACAGCTGAAGAATTTCACTGAGGCTGTCACAATATTTAGCACTTCCCTCAACATCTCAGTCTGGGGAAGTTTCGCTATTTTGAGAGCTGAAAATTTTAACTTCTTTCATGAATTTTCCAATTCCAACACGGATGATGAGAAGGGGAAAAAGTTGGGGAAACCCCAAAATTACAAAGCAAATCCAGCTGTGCCCATGCCCTTCCCAGCAGCAGCCACCAATTTCAGCACCCCGGTACCACCAGGAAGGTCTGCGGTGCCCCAGCCTCCTGGCCTGGCCACCAGCAGAACCTCCCCGGGGCCATCAGGTGTCCGAGGGCTCTCCCCATGTCTGATGTGAGCATTTTTAGCATCCTCCAACTGCGCCCTGTCCGTTCCAGGCACTTTGTGCCACAAGTTCTGCTTCGCTGGACACCCGGTTGCAAATCCAGAGAGCACTGAAGTGCCCACGCTGCTCCAGCTTTTAGTTTTGCAAAATGATGCGTTTTTGGGTGTCACGAGTAAATGGGGATGTTTGGCTTTACACCCTGCTCCTGCCAGACGTGCAGAGCCTCGCTGCCTGCAGGCCAAGCCACATCCTCCCAGCTCACACTGCACACCGTGCGAGCAGCACAAAGCACCCCAGAGCAACAGGGAGGGCAGCGCTCACAGCTCCAGGTTTTTTTTCCAGGTAAGGATTTCACTGGGGAGAGCACAAATCCATCCAAATCCTGGCAGCAGCCTTCCAGCCAGCAGCATGTGGCCTGCTGTGTGACTGCAGCTCCGAACCCAGCCCAGGAGCCCTTCAGCAGGCTATACGAGCTAGAGCTGAGCTTACCGAGCTCCTGGAATCCAGCACATGACACACCGCGAGAGAAAAAGCCATAAAAAAGCACTAAAAGCAAAGGCAGTGGCTGCCAGCACACCAGGCTTCCCCTCTGACACGGAAGAGAGGAAGGCTGGGCTGCAGCACGGCGTCACCACATCGCAGCTGGCAGAACCACAGGTCTGGGGGGAGCTTTGTGCAACTTTTTCCACAGGTGTTTTGAATCCTCCCGTCCCTCCCCAGTTGTTCTACACCGCAGCAACCGGACTCCAGAAGCCTGCTCTGTAGGCACAGGACAGGACGGCACGCTGCAAGCTCCCCCTCGCTTTGGAACAGCTCCTTAAAAGCAGAGCAATCAGCACCATTCTCCCACACCAGGCGTTTCAGGAGAGCGGCAGGGCTCAGCCAGCAGTGCTGTCCCCGCTCTCGCTCTGAAGCTGTGCTCTCCAGTTCAGCACCTGGAGCTGAAAGCCGACCTGCCCGCCTGCCTGCAGCAGCTCCAGGGTCTGCTGAAAGATGACGGAGGGCATAAAGCCTCGACTTTCAGCTTCAGCTCCCGCCCAGCTTTCTTGTTTGGCTTTCTTTTTTTGGCGTGAGGCAGACAACAGGAGTGCTCTCTTCCCAGGAAAAGCCTGAATTACACAGCTGGTATTTAGCTGTGGTTTTGCATCCATTTTGTACTTGGTCACTGGTGCCGAAAAAAAACAGCACTGTGTTTATTTACAGAGCAGGAGGGGCTGACTAGCTGGCAGGAATCAGAGTTGGTAGAAAATCCATGAAGCGTCAGCCTCCTGCTAACACCTGAATATAGCTACTGCACATCAGCGTGGTGTCAGCTTCTCCCTCTTTCCAGGACTGGGGACCTCGTGTTCGCTGACAAAAGGTAAAACCCAGCGGCAGGCTGGCACGGGACTGCACTGATTTACTCTGGATCCTGATCCCTGGTGGGCTGCTCCTAAAAGCAGCACCCGGCAGGGCACCCGGGCTCTCCCCCTGCTGTCAACTTCCCACTGAGACAACTTCACCTCCAGGTTTCCATCAGAAAAGGCAGGGCACTTACAGAGACAACGACCACAAAACAGGCACAACCCAGGTCCTTCCAGCAGGCAGAACACTCACTTGCATCTTTTCATCCCGTTCTAAGGATGACCAACCTTCTCCTTGGCAGTTTTCCACCCCGTGGACAACAAACGGTAACCGCAGGAAAGCCGGAGCTGCTGCTCTCCCTGCCACACACCGAAAACAGCACCGACGCCTTCGCAGCCACCTGACCTTGCAGATTGTTGCCTTCCCCCTCCCCAGGAGCTACTTGGGTGCTGTGGAGAAGGAATTGGTAGAGCAAAAGAAAAAAGAAAAAAAACTGCTGCCTGTCAACATCCCAGTGCTTGAGTCCCTTCCGGAGGCACAGTGGTCGTAAAACTGCCACAGCGTGCAGCCAGAAAAGAAAGACCATAAAAAAAAAAAAAAAAAAAAACCAACTTCCTAGCACAAGTTGAAAGCCTCCCGTGCCAAGAAGCAACGCAGCCTAAGGACACGCTGAGGACGTTTATACCAGCTGGTTACTCGCTGTAACTTCAGAATTTGACGAGAAGCTGCCTGGTTGCACAGCCCAGACACCCTCCACGCAGACGATGAAAAACACACACACAAAACACGTCCATAACTTCATAAAAGCCCTGCGTGTGCCTGGGGCAGGCGCTGTAAGAAGTTTCTGTGCTTCCCTCTGGCTCCAGGGGTGCCGAAGGAGCTGCTGAACGAGCCTTCAGAAACCGCGTCCGCTTGGCAGCCAAACAAGGGCTCGGTGTGCCAGCAGCACAGCGCGGCTCCTGCCGTGACGCCGAGGGGGCAGGACGTGCATCCTCCCCCCAGGAACATCGCTCCGCGTTCCCCAGGGCGCCTCCATCCCCCCGTGAAGCTCCCTGCCCACTGCTGCAGATGTGCAGGTTCCCCTGCCTGCTTTCCACAGCAGCCCCTGCTAACAAGAGCGAGACCTCCCGGCCGTGCATCTTGGCAGAGAGCGGGGATAAAAACCTCCAGAGGGAAATCCAGGAGTCTCGGAGAGGTAAGAAAGCTGGAAGGATTTTTAGAGGTGGGTCTTTTAAAAGTTCAGATCCAATAAAAAGCCAATCCTTAAAAACCATCCCTAATAAGTTAGCTTTTTTTTTTTTTTGGAGTTGCTTAAAACGTCTCCATTAGATAAAAACATTCCCATTAAAAGCAGACTTTCCTAAATAAAACCAATTTGTTTTTATTTTTCCCCTAAGTTACAAATTTAAGTGACTTCGCACCAGTCACAATTTCCGGATTATAAAACAGCCTGAAGTCAGAGAGAGATAAATCCACACAGCCATGTGACAAAAAGAAACACGCAGACGGAATTTGTCCCAGCTCAGCTGATGAGTGACACCCCGAACTCTGCAGAAACAAACGGCGTGTCCCGAGGAGAACTCATTTCCCAGCGAGCCAGCAGAAACCCACAGGCTCTCCCAGCAGCCCAGCATTAACACTGGCCTCTTGGCTCCGGAGAGGAGAAAAAAATAAAAGTTTCCTTGAGGGGGGGGGGGGGGAGTGGGGGGGGTTGGCTTTCCACCAGAAAACCATCCTCAGCCCTTCTCGTTTTCACAGCTCCTTAATTACTCCTCGGGATCCTGTTCTGCTCGGAGACCTCAATTAGCCTGACCCAGAATCCTGCAGCTCGGGCAGGTTCTTCTCCCTCCTGCGCCTCCAAGGAAAGGCAATGCCTCCGCTGCCCACAGAGAGGCGTGGGGAGAGGCCTCAGAGCCCAGAGCCCCGTGGGTTTGGGTGGGAAGGGACCTCAAAGCCCACCCAGTGCCACCCCCTGCCCCCAGCCCAGGCTGCCCCCAGCCCCCCCCAGCCTGGCCTTGGGCACCCCCAGGGATGGGGCACCCCCAGCTCCTGGGGCAGCCAGGGCAGGGCCTCGCCGCCCTGGGAATGAAGAATTTCCTCCTTCCACCCCACCTGAGCCTGCCCTCTGCCAGTTTAACGCCACCCCCGGCCTGCCCCAGGCCGCAGCAGGCAAACAAGAGGCGCAGGGAACCGGGCCCGGCGGCAGGGCTCACACAAACACCCCCACACCCCCCCCCCGGCCCCTCACCGCGCTTGTTCTTGGTGCCGTGCTTGCGGGCGGCCGCCAGCTCCTGCTCGATTTTCTTCTCCAGGAACTCCTGCTTCTTGCTCAGCATCTCCTCGGTGTCGCGGAGCCGCTGGATGGCCTCCTGCGGGGACGGGCCCTTCCCGCCGCCCTTGCCGCCGGCCCCCACCCCAAATATCTTCTCCAGGAACCCCGACATGGCTGCGGCGGCTCGGGACGGCTCCGGCCGCGCTCGGCGCTCGCCTCAGCCTCAGCCTCGGCCTCCTCCTGCTGCTGCCGCCGCCGCCGCCCGGGCCGCTCCGGTCACCGCCCCGCCTCAGCGCCCTCCCCCCCTCCCGCCTGCATACAACTCCCAGCGTGCCCCGCGGCGCAGCGCCGCACCGCCGAGCGGCGGCTGCGCGAAGGGCACGCTGGGAAATGGAGTCCCGGAGGGGAGGGGCCGGGCGCGGGGCACGCCGGGGAGGAGCGGGCTGCCGGGAGGAACCGGGAAGCGGCCCCCAGAGGGCGGTGACGTCAGCGGGGCGTTGCCATGGCGGCAGCGGCCTGAGGCAGGGCCCGGCCCGGGGAGGTCCCGCGGCGGGGCTGGGCTTGGTGTTAATAATTAGCGAGATACAGACAGCGATACAGCCCTGTATCGGCACTGCTCGTATCGGTACTGCCGGTACTGGTCGTGGGGCGTCGCTTCAGCAAACGCCCAGGGCGCCCCGTGATCCAGCAAGCGCTGGGCAGGGCAGGGGCAGCCCCCGGGGCTCGCCGGCTGCGGGAGCCCCCCACGGGGGGGAGAGAACCCCAAAATCACCCAGCCCAACCCCTGAGCTAACACTGACCTGCCCTCCACTGAACCGTATCACCAAGCACTACACCGAAACGTCTGTTACAGGCCCCCAGGGACTGGTGACTCCACCACCTCCCTAGGCAGCCCGTCCCAGTGCCTCACAACCCTCTCCATAAAGAAGTTTTTCCTGACATCCAACCCAAACCTCCCCTGGCGCAACTTTAGCCCGTTCCCCCTCGTCCTGTCACCAGGCAAATAGACCAACCCTCACCCCGCTACAGCCTCCTTTAAGGGTACCTGCAGAGAGCGATAAGGTCGCCCCTGAGCCTCCTCTTCTCCAGGCTGAACAAGCCCAGCTCCCTCAGCCGCTCCTCGTAGGACTTGTTCTCCAGGCCCCTCACCAGCTTCGTCGCCCTTCTCTGGACTCGCTCGAGCACCTCCATGTCCTTCTTAAAGTGAGGGGCCTAAAACTGAACACAGCACTCACCAGAGCCGAGTAGAGGGGGACAATCACTTCCCCAGCCCTGCTGGCCACACAGCCCCTGCCTCATTCTGGCTTGTTACGTTTGTAACGGCAGACACAGAACAAAGACAGGCACACACACAAAAAAATACACAAGAAAAGTCCACCAAGGCTCAAAGAAAATGTGCCCAGGGTAGGAGAGCCCTCAGCAGGACACCTCAGGAGCTGGAACACCGGCAGCGCTCTGCCTGCCCTCGGTGACTCGCAGCCCCCTGCCCCAGCCCGGCAGCAGCCAGGCACCCGCCACAGGAACGCGGCTCCTGGGTTCTCCCCGTTTGGCCCACGGGAAACAGAACAATTTGTGCGTGTCTTAATTGGCCCTGGGTTTCATCGGAGCTTATTCAGCTGGGCAAAACAGCACGGCATGGGATTTCAGAGCTCCTGGCTTGCTGCGATGAGCCGCCTTCCCCACACAGCACAGCACCGAGCACTGCTCACAGCTCACCACGCCTCAGTGACAGCGCCTGCTTTTTCGTAATTAAATTCTCTTTCCCACAAGGTTTTCCATCATGACAAATTTTAATCTGCAGAAGAGAGGGTTTTGTTCTTCTTTTGAATACCTGCATTTTGTTCCTTTTCAAACAAAGGCACTGAGGCCCCAGGACCACCTACCTGGGGCAGCTGCAGAGCCGCCAGCCCCTGGGAAGCAGGGGGACAGCAGCTGCCACGCTCCCTGGGCATCACCCAGCCCTTCCCCGGGGCGGCAGCGTTCATCAGACAGCCACAAGGCTTCCAGGCAGAGCTGCACAACCACCCGGCCCAGCCGCCCTTCAGCTCAGGGCCTTCTGTTGTTACCTCACACTAATCACTCGGAGATTTACTCTAAGATCATTACGGCCGAGGGAAAGCTGCGCTGAGCTAGCAGTGCCCGTGAGCACAGCCCCACCACGCAGGTATCGAGCATCAGTGCAGCATCTTTTGGCCCCAGCATCCCACGGCCACACGTGAAGCTGTTTTACAGCTCCGCTCCCAACCCTTGAATTCCACTCAGTGCAGCCAGCGGACACCAGATTCCAGCACCTTGTTTCAACTGGCTGAGCTGGGGGAAGCAGAGGCCCTAAAGGAAGGGCCATGGGGGCCTCCAGCCCCCGCCTGTGAGCTGAAGGAGAGCCGTGCCCACGCGTTGGCCCTCTCAGAACAGAGCCAGCTGCAGCGAGGGCCCGAAGCCACATAATGACACTGTGCAGTGTGGGCAGCGAGGGGAGGAAAACAGTTTGCTAAATATACTCCTCCTAGTTCCTTCTCCTGTTCCCCTCCTGTGAGAACTGTTTTTAAAAGTTATTGTGGGCAAATAAACTCTGCCCTTCAGAGCAGACAAGGTTCCCAGAAGCACAGAACCATTTCCTCCAAGCATGCTCCCTCAGAGCAGGACGCTTGGGGTATTGCTGAGTTTTGAGTACGAGCAGGTACCGTGACCTCCCAGCCCCTCCACAACCTTGTCACAGTGCCGGACGTGTTTTTGATCGTTTCTTTTCACTGAGTCAGCATTTGCCATGTTCTGTCACATCCTTGTTGCCTCCCATCCTGTTCCTCTGCACCTCTGAAGAGTCCAGCCCCATCCTTTCTTCTCTATGCCCTCTTGCAAACTCCCAGTTTCAGAATTAAGCAAAACACACCTGCAAGGACACAGCAGGAGTACCTGGAGGTCCAGCCGTGGGCTGGAGCTCAGGCAGGATGCAGGCAGAGAGCAGGGGCAGAGCAGTGGGAGCAGTAACACTGGGCTGACTGTGCCAGCAGCCAGGAACAGCCAAAGGTTACCCCACGTGGCAGCAGAAGTGAGGTACCCAGAGCTGACTGACCCGGTGCGCTGCCCTGCACCACCCCCAGGCTCAATCGGCAGCATCTTCACACCGCCAGCTGATCAGCTCATCACCCCAAATTCTCCACCTGCTCTGCTGACCTGTACAAGACAAATGCAGTGGGGAGAGCAGAGCATGGGGACAGCATGTGCCAGGTGGACCCCGAGGCAGCAGGGGTGTTTCTCCAGGTCTGGGTCATGTTCCCTTTTCCAACAGGCAGGACCAGCTCACCAGCACTGAACTAAGGCTGAGTGTGGCATGGGAAGGAAGAGGGAGCCTAGCAGGCAAAACCACACTCGACTGCTCTCCTGCCTACTTTGGGCTCCACACCCGCCCACACAGCTCCTTTCCCAACACCACACAGCTTTCAGTTCCCTCCCATTAGGTGCCCTGGGATTGGTGTTCCCACCTCGCTTTTGGGACTCCTACTTAGGCAATCAGATCGGAGAAGCCGTGTGGACAGCAAGAGCTGTTCCAGTCGCACAGGACTTTCCTGCTCCCTGACCACTGCCACCCCGCTGCCAGCGTCCCACTGAAATGATTAACCAGCCCATAAAACTGAGCTAAGGGAATGTAGGGCTGGGAATCAGCTAATGGAGGAGCGCAGCAGATGCTACAAATCTGGCTCGTGGGCACATCACAGGTTTCCTGTGTGACCCTGGACAGGTCGCCTCGCCCAGGCCTTCGTTTCTCCCACTGTACAGAAGTGTCAGGAAGGGAGGTGCCACATTTAACTGTTCCAAGGACTGGCTCGCTGATATCTAAGGCACTTGGAGATCCTTGGGTATGGAGAAAACCATGAGACCACCACTGTGGAAGCAACACCAAGCACACGTGTGCCAGAGCCAGCAGCACAGAGCTGCTCCCACCCATCGACTCGACACAGCGTGCCAGCTCCATGGTGTTTATAACACGTAGTACAGACACGGTGATCTTTCTGCTGATAACAGACAGGGAAAAGAAAGATACCAGACAAGTCTGTCAGGGTATTTCTGAACAGTGTTCCCGAAGGATCTCAGGATGAACTTGCTTCCACTAGGAAGGATCATTTGTTTGCTCTTGGAAAGGCCACCCAAATACTGGGCAATATAGCTTTCAGGCCAGAAAAACCACAGATGGGACAGGCTGTGATTTGCAAAGCCACCTGATTTCAGCAGCTCTGTTTGTTGCACGTTTGTTTGCTCTTTCTTCTCACCCTGATTCAGGGATCTTAGTCTTTCCTGCCCTAGGCTGACCAGTGATGCAGAGGGACAAGAAGAGACAGAGCCATTCCCTTCAGTGCCTTGTGCCATCAGTAGCTTCCAAGCAGTCCTTTGCCCAAGGACGGGAAGAACAAGTGGAGATGAAAGCCCTTCTCTCCCATATCCATCTACCTCCCCACAAGAGCCTTGGTCTTTTTCACTGAGCCAAATTTCTGCACCACGTCTGACGACCCCAGCAGCAGCCCTGAGCCACACGGTGGCTCTTTACACAGTCACTCCGTCGTCTGGATGTACACGGGGACAGCCAGCATGGTGCAGGGGCCGTCCGAGGCAGCCTGCAGCTCTGCCAAGGACAAATTGGACGTGATGCTGCTGGGCTGCCCAGGAACAACGAGGTCTGAGTCAGCAGCTCCTGACCCACCCACCACAATGGACAGGACTGCGTCCGACTCCTGAAAGGGTTCTTTGTTCGGGCTGTCGTCCTGGGGGCTTTCCCCAGCGGCACCGTCCTTCAGCTCCGCCAGAGCCAGCTGGTTGGGGATGGACAGGCCCACCTTGCGCCCCCGTGCCACCCGTTTCTTCTGGGGCTTCCTGAGCTGCAGGTCTTTGTCCTTGGGTGAGCCCAGGCGGCACTTGTGGTCCTTCATGTACTTGTGGCGCGTGAAGCCCTTGCTGCAGGTGGGGCAGCGGTATTTGTAGTTGCCGGTGTGCGAGCGCTGGTGCTCCATCATGTGGGCTCGTCGGCTGAAGGACTTGTTACAGTACTGGCACTTGTGGATCTTCATCCCTGCACACAGCGTGGGAGGAGAGAGAGCTCAGTTAGAGACCCTGCTTCACAGCACAGACCTTCAGGAAAACCTGCACCAGAGGGAGAGCACGACAGCTTCGCCTCCTCTTCCAAGCAGATGTTCCCCAATAAAAGCTTGACACAGCCACCTCCTCCCTCGAGAAGCCCCATTCTTTTCAGTTTAATAATTAAAACAACCAAAACCCCCCCAGTTTAAGGAGATGTTGTGTCACGCAAATCTGCAGCCCCTAAAGGATGTGCTGCTACACCTTGAATGGCCGTGGTTACAAACAGCTACAACATTCATTCCTGCCTCAAAGGAGAGGTTTAAAATATCACTACAAAAATAAAACCAAAATAAAAATAATAATAATTAAAAAAACACGGTCAGGTGACTGTGATGAAAATGCAGAACAGCTACATCCTGACCTTTTTTCCCCAGGTGTATTTGGTGAGGAAAAAAAAAACAACACTTTTTTTTCCCTCCCAAATGTAGTCTGAAACACATCATCCACTGCACTGCCAGCGCAGTCCCATCTGATCACACCTTGTAGGGCTTTGGATGTGCCAGGCACAAGAAAAGAAGTTCAGTTTTACTCTAACAGACAAAAATCAAAAAGTTCCCTAGGGCACAGGAATGATTTGTCTTTACTAGAAGTGGAAGCATTTTTTTGGACCACAGAAAGAAGGCAGTCAAATCCCAAGGCATCTCTTTTTGAATGTGAGATATTATCAGTGAGGAGTGGGCAGGGCACTCTGGATGTTCATTTGATAGCAAACACACTTCAAGCCTCCCCAGCAGGCCCCTGCTTACAGACTTGCATTGCTTTAGGAAACAGCCTAGAGCTTAGACACGGTTGTAAAATGCAAGCTCATTTAAACAGGCCTGCAGCAACAGAGATTAAAAAAAAAAAGTCTAAAGCTGATAAGATATTTTAAGAAGTTGGGTTTATATCTGGGGAACACTACCATATGCAGGGGAAAATACAAAACTGCACAGTAGTTAGCCAAGCGAAGGGACACTGCAGGGAAAGCACCCAGCACATCTGGCACTTCTGGGGATATACAGCTGAAGCGCTTCCACAATTTTCCTTCTCAGTTTCTCTGGCTTGCTCCTGTACCACACTCCCACACAGCCACACGGGATCTCAGCCACTTCGCTCCCAACCAGCCAGCAGCACAGGCAGGGGCCAGCTGCACTCACCTGAATGGGACAGTATGTGAGCCTTCAGCTTGTCTGGCCTGTTGAACTCTTTATTGCAGCCCATGTGGCTTCTGTAAGAACAAAAATATGCTGGTTAGCAGCATGAATCAGCTGAGGATTGATGTATAAACAGAGCCCGGACCAGAGAGAGATCCACAGCCCTTCTCTATAGCAGCACCCAGATGGGGCCCTGCGTGCAGTCACAGTCAGTGTCCCAGTGTTTCTGCCCTTCTGGGGGGGAAGGAGAGATAATCAGGCTGCTACAGGGACACGGGGCTTCTGCTAGGCTACACATCGCCTTTGCCTCGCCACAAATTCTCCTAAAAGCAGCAGGTTCAGGGTCCCAGTTGGAGGCAGAAAAATGCTGGAAGGAGGTGGTTGGAAGCAGGGAGAAGTCAGTCTTGGCTGCCTCAGAAGGCCCATGAATGTGCCATAGATTTGGGGATGGACCTCCTACACCTAGATTGCTTTGGCTTGTACATCAGCTCCTCTGCTTCTAAGTGCAGTTGGGGAGATGCTATCAGTCAGGCAATCCTGTGCTTGGTACCCAAATAACTCTCTCTCCTCCCCAGAGCTCTGCAGGTGCAATCCCCCAAGCCTCCCACATACATAGGCATTATTCTACAGGTCTTGAGGAACTGAGATGAATTGATGTGGTCCCACAGAAAGTCAGTGGCAACTGAGGCTTCTGGGTTCCCAGTGCAACAGCGTGCAGCATTCCTGCCTCCCCAAGAAGCAGAGGATGGGAAGATGCTACATGTACCCTAGGATACCTACAAGGGATGTTTTTTCCTTTCCAAACCCCACAACGAGCCATTAAGACATGCTGCCATGCTGGAGACGCTACGTACGAGAAGGGACATTTATATTTCTTGAAAGGCTCGTGGATCAGCATATGCCTCTTGAGTTTGTCTTTCCGATTGAAAGCTGCATCACACACCGAGCACTTAAAGGGCTTTTCACCTGAATTAAAGAGAGAGAGAGAAAGAGAGAGATGAGTCGGGGAAGGTGCAGTCACTCAGGGCTCTTCTAGTCACGTGCAGGATTCATGCTGGCAGCAGTGCCACTCTGCTTCTCTGGAAGCTGTCCCAAGTTTCCCTACCCCACCCTATGGGTAACCAGATGGATACTGTCCCCTAGTGCGTGCTGCTCCTTATCTCCAGGGCAGCTTCCCTAGCTTTTGCAACCCTGGACATTGGGGAAGCCAGTTCTGTGTCCTGCTTCCAGCTGCTGGGTACAAGACTGAATCAAAGCCATACAGCTCCTAAAAGCCACGTTCCTGGAGACGACTGACACAGCCAGCTCTGTTACTCTGGTTATCAGGACAACAGCCAGAGCACCACGGAGCTCAGCAAGGACCATGACCCGGAGACACCCAGCACTGCAGCACCAGCAGAGCCCGTACCCGAGTGGATGTGGGCGTGCAGCTTGAGGTAGTGCTCGCGGCGAAAGAACTTCTTGCAGATCTGGCACTTGAACTTGCTGCCCGCACCGTGCGTGGGGATGTGGCGGCGCAGGTACCTCTCGCAGGGAAACACCTGTCAGCACACAGAAACGAGGCTAAGAGCCAGCAGCACAGAAGGGACATCACTGAGTTGAACGGGCAGAAGAGTTTTAGCCTGTACAAAAAGCACAAGCAGCTCACAGTGACCGCTCTCTTGGAAAGGAAGCGCTGAGGAAACCTTTAGTTTTGTATAAGGAAAATACAGACAGAGCTTTAAAAACAAACAACAAAACCATTTATCCTTAGGAAACACATGAGCTGAAACATTGCTACTAAATTTTCGAACACCACAGTGCTGAGGACCAGCTCCCCAGATGGATGCTAAGGCCAGCAGGGACCCGCTGCACCCGGACCCCCAGCAGTTCCTACCTCCACAGGGATGATTTCAGTCTGTGCTTCCTCACTATCCATTACCAAAAGCTCCCACTCGTGGTCTTTACAAAACCAGTACGAATGGTTCCTTTGGCTGACGGGGCTACTGGAAATACCCAAGCTAAGTGAATTCCTGATGAGGATGCTGTGAGCACGTATCTAGGGGGAGCACAGGATTTCTGGTACCCAGGACTTTCATCTCCAGAAAAGAGCACTATTATTAAGAACACAAACAGAAGTGAAAAATACTGCTGCAGACAGTGGGCTTCCAAACCCCCCTGCTGCATGCTGAAAGTCCCATCCTGGTGCAGAAGGGCATCTCCCTCCTGGTGGGGGGAAGTGAAGAGATGACAGGTAAAGACGGGTTCCTAATGGCAGGAGCGTGTTTCTCCTCCCTGAGTTACCTCAGTGCAGAGAGGACAACCCTTTGAGACCGCTCCTGCCCCTATCACAGGGTTTTCATTTCCGTTGCTAAGAACAGAGGAGCAAGGGTCCAAATTTTACTCTGGATTTCAAAAAGGAATTCATTGGAATTCAAACCCCACAAAATTCTGTCCCTCAAACCCTTTTCAGGGCAATGCCGAAGAGAGTATTTCCAGCCCAAACCCATCCATGCGCTGCTCCAGTCCCAGTCACATCACTCAAAAAGGTTTCCCTTTGCCAAGGACACAGAACATTCATCCAAAAGACAGGAACAAGGGGAAACCCAGAGACTTCTGTTGCAACAGGAGATGAGGTCAGAAACACAGGTGTCCAAGCTCCCCCAGAACCTAAGGATTTCTGCTCACAACCCTTCCAGGCACAGGTAGCCAGCCATGGGGGGTCAAAGGCACTGCCACCAGTCTAAGACTTCCCAAAACCAGCCTCACCACTGCTGCATCTGCTTTTAAGAAACAAGAGAGTGCAGTTCTGCGCTGTCATGGGAATAAGGAAGCTCTCCTTCCAAATTCTCTTTGTTTGGTCAGCAAATTGGACCTGGGAGAAAAGCCAGCACTACAAGCATGAACGTACTCTGCGTGAGGCCAGGGATGGCTGCAGTCACCTCTGCCTCTCTGCAAAGCACCTCATGAGCCCACCAGGCCACAGCGAGGTGGGAAGGGAGAGGAGAGTGAGTAGAGGGGTCTCGTGCCCCGCACAGCCCTGGCTACGTGCCCAGGACCAGCTCAGGCAGCGGCTCCCCACCCACCTTCTGGCAGTGAGGGCAGGGGAAGTTGTGCGTTGCTGTCTGCAGATGATGCTCCAGGGCTTCTGGCGTGGAGTACTTATTTACACACTTCACACACCTGAATGTGGAGAGAAAGGACAGAGCCTGTGAACACGGCTACCGGCAGCAAACCCCCCACGGCAGGCAGACCCACACAGCTCCTTCACCCACTGCCTTCCAGGCTGACTTCTGGCAGGGTCAGCTTGGCACAGGTGATACCACCACCTGCCCGACTGCCCCCGACACCTCAGCAACCCGCGTGGCCAGATCACACACACACACACAGCATCCTGCACCGGGGGAGAAACTGGAACACTGGGCAGACAAGCCTTGAAATTTCCAGTGCTCATCCGCGCAAACTCCCGTGGGAGCACCCACAGAGGAACATACACGTTCCATGGGGACAGCTTCCACGGCTTCTCCTCGGCTCTCTCCACCTAACTCACCTGTTTTCACAAACCCTGGTGGTATTTCTGAGACCTCTGCCAGAGCTGGCTGGTAATAGGCAATGTGTACGTGCATCACCGACGAGGAACACACACACAGGCACCCTTCTCACCACGTATCTGCAGTGAAGCCTCTTTTGCTTAGAGCAGACTAAAACCTCCTCGAACAGAAGGAAGGCTCTGACCCCACAGATCCCTGGTAGCAAGCTGTAGGATGAAGCTCCACAGCACCAGGCTGACTAGAAATTATGGTCTAAGAAGTAGCAGGCATTAACTTACTAGGCTCTGAGGTGACTTGCAGTATCCTCTGGGCTTCCTTCTCTTCCTGATGTCCCTACAGGCATTTCAACAGCTCCAGAGAGCTGTTCACAGAACTCCCTCACCCCTTCCCCCTACACTAGTAGAAGGGCTTTTTTCCAGGTAAGATAGAGCCCTTCACAGCATAAGAACAGGAGAAGAAACTCATTTTACCTGGGCACAGCTTCTACAGCCCACAATCCCTTTGCAGTTTAGAGACTCAGCCTGGGCAGGGGCTTCCCGGGGTCACTGTCCCGTTGGGGCAGACTCAGCTGTGCTCCCCTCCCTCCTGACTGGGTGCTAAGAGGGCTTGCAGTGGTGGGCTCTTCCCACATAGCTGTACCCAGCCCGTTCCTGTCGTTCTGAAAGGCCCTCTGCATTCACCACACGTGGCTCCAACAGCCCGGTGGGACCCCAGCTACCACCTGCGTGCCCCAGAGAACCGTGGCTGCTGAGCAGGCAGCCCCCTCGTCCCCCTGGCGTCCCCACCGCTCTCAGGCAGCCACGCTCTGCACACACTCACTCCTACAAGCCTTGTGAGCACCGATTGCTACTGTACTTGTACACGGCCACGTCCTTCTTGGGGCTGTGCTGGGGCAGCAGGTTGTGGGAGTACTGGTGGATGCCCAGCTCATACAGGGAGAGGAAGTCCTTGCTGCAGAGGTGGCAGCGGTAACTCAGCTCCTCCTGGTGGCTCTTGATGTGGTCGAGGAAAGACTCCAGCTTCTGGAAGGTCTGAGCGCAGCTCTTCACCACACACTTGTACACCTGGGTGAAGAAGGGAGAGCAGGGGCAGTGGCACAGCATGGGAACAAACAGGGCAAATCCTCTGCCAGCAGACAGAGCAGCCTTCCTAGCTTGGAAATCATTGCAACTGGGCACTTTACAGAACACAACTGCTGCCCCTTAGTGCCCTGCGCTGGGGAGCAGCTGAGCTGATTTTATGGACAAAACAGCACCAGGGCTCCCAGAGCACCCCGCCACGCTCACACACTGGCTACGGGGCTCGGTCAGGGCAGAGCGATGAAACCCAGCTCTCAACTGCAGCAGGAGCACAATGTGACAGTAAAAAAAAAAAAATCCTCTTCCCATGAGCAAGAACGGTGCAGAAGAGCTCAGCACCAAAATGTGGTTGACAGCTTTAGGTGAAGGCAGCAGCAGAACCTGCTGGGAGCTGAACAGAAACCAGACCTGCACTCCTGCAGCACAGCACCCATCAGGCTGACACACACGGACCTGGCAAGATCTTGGAAAAGATCCTCCTGGGAGCAATGTCAAGGCACATGCACACAAGGAGGTGATCCGAGACAGCCAGCACAGCTTCACCAAGGGCAAATCGTGCCTGCCCAACTGGTGGCTTTCTACAGTGGAGTGACTGCATCAGTTGACAGAGGAAAACCAACCAATGTCATCTACCTGGCCTGAGCACAGAGTGGGAGAAGAACTCACTGAGAGCAGCCCCGCAGAGGAGGACTTGGGGGTTCTGGTGGGCAAAAAGCTCAACATGAGCCAGCAGTGCGTGCCTGCAGCCCAGAAGGGCAACTGCACCCTGGGCTGCATCAGCAGCGGGGTGGGCAGCAGGGGAGGGAGGGGATCGTGCCCCTCTGCTCTGCCCTCCTGAGGCCCCACCTGGAGCCCTGCGTCCAGCTCTGGGCCCCCAGCACCAGGAGGATGTGGGGCTGCTGGAGCGGGGCCAGAGGAGGCCACGAAGATGCCCAGAGGGCTGGAGCACCTCTCCTGGGCAGGAAGGCTGAGAGAGCTGGGGGTGGTCAGCCTGGAGAGGAGAAGGCTCCGGGGGGACCTCAGTGCAGCTTGTCAGTACTTGAAGGAGGCTTCTAAAAAGATGGGGAGCAACTCTTTGACAGGAGGAGGGGGAATGGTTTTAAACTAAAAGGGGAGATTTAGGTCAGAGGTTAGGAGGAAATTCTTCCCTCAGAGGGTGGTGAGGCCCTGGCACAGGCTGCCCAGAGAGGCTGTGGGTGCCCCATCCCTGGGGGTGATCCAGGCCGGGATGAGGCCCTGGGCAACCTGGTGCAGTGGGTGGTGTCCCTGCCCATGGCAGGGGGTTAGAACCAGGGGATTTTTAAGGTCCCTTCCAACCCAAACCATCCTATGATTCACCTGGCTCAGGGAAGGACCCCACGAGGCACAGCCAGCCCCACACACCCAGCCTCCTCCCCTGACACTCAGTCATTCAGAGGACACCCAGGTTGCACAGAGCCCAAAGCAGGGCTCGCTCCCTTCCCGTTTCTACCCCTGGGGTGAGAGCAGGCTCAGGAGCAGACGTAGCTCCAGGAAGCGAACCCCTCCGGCCCTTGCCTCTTTCCACATCGTGAGAGCTGGGCCAAACCTACCCAACTGCCACACGATACTTGTTCTGCCTGCACAGACTGCCTGGGCACTCCCCTGAGAAAACAAGCAAGAAAGCAAGGCAGGAGAAAGGGCTGTCGGTGTGAGCGCCTGGAAACACCGGAGTGGTGAGACCACAACACTCCAGCAGTGACCAGCCTACAGCCTGAGAGCTGCTACCTACGCTGCAAACTTTGGCCTCTGTCTCTTTTCTTTTCCCTCTAGCCACCCAAACCTGCTTGACTGTTTTTTCCCCAGTGGCTCAGCAGGGCGGGGGAGCTTTTCAAAGCCACCCAGAGCTCACAGCTGCAACCCAGACGTGCAGGGAGCTGAGCTGCACAGCAAGCACTTACTGAGCAAGCAGCACGCTCAGGACAGAGCCTGCGATCCTGTCTTAATCCCACCAGCACCACAGGGTACTCCTGGTTCCTACCTGCTCGTTCTTGTGTTGCGTCATGTGTGATTTGAGCTGGAAATAGGTGTTGAATTTGCTGGGGCAGAACTGGCACTGGTAAGAGCTGTCGATCAAGACAACCTGCTTGGCTTCCAGTTTGCCTGCCTCGCTCTCCTCCATGGGGCTCATGTCTTGGGGCGGTTGTGCGGGGTTCCTCGAGGGCTGAGTCAAACCTGGAGAAAAGGGAGAGAGAAAGTCACAGGCTGCCACATGACAGCGCTGAAAGCTGTTCTGCAAGCTCTGCGCTGCTGAGACACCCAGGCCTGGCTCTGGATCCATGGATCCAGGCTCCTCTTTCCTTTCTTTAGATCAAATCTCACTCTCTAACGACCGAGTTCTTTAGATCTAGAAAAAAAGAACCTTTAGATTCTTTAGTTTAGGCAGATCTTCAGATCAGAATCTCACTAATGGCCTAGTTCTAAGCTTGCCTACAGATGACCAAGGGCTCTGACCACTCCGTCTTCTTCTCCTTGACCAATTCTCTTCACCACAGCGCTTCCAGGGACGTAATTGTTGTTCCCTGTCAGCAGGACGGGCCCCATCCAGGGAACCAGTGCCAGGCTCACTCCCAGCTCCAGTGGTCACCTCCAGCCAGCAGCAGCCCCGATGGCTGCAGAGAGCAGCTCCCAGGACCTTACCCAAGGTGCGACATTGCCACAGTGCTGTTCCCTCCCCGCCTGCCTAGGGCTGGGGCTACCAGCAGAAAGGGCATGCAGACACCATCAAGAAGCTTTTTTCTGCTTCTAGAATGTTCGGTTGGCTGCTGGGGACAGACACAGCCCAGGCCTGACGTGCACATCCCCAGAGCACCAGGTGTGCTAATCACTGGCTTCTCCAGCCACTGAACCAGGGCAGCCCAGGGTGGCTCGTGCAGTACCAGTGCTGCAGCTGCCAGGGAGTGAAAAGGGGAAGGAAGGTTCTCCCTGCTCCTGGCATGTCCTGGCACACAGTTTGGAGCCCCTCTCTTCACCAGCAACTGAACTGACAGCAGCTGGAGGCACCCAAGGACGCAGCTGCCAGCTAGAGTGGAGCAAATGTGACTCGGGCAGCATTTCCCTGGTGAGTGCTGTTAAATCCCACGGCAGGACTACAAACAGCACACACTGATCCTTCCCTGTATAGGACCAAGAGACACAGGGATGCGTGGAGACCTCACGTCACTGCTCTGCCCCTAACTCACGTTCCCAGGCAGCAAACCTGTGTTCTCCTCATCCTCCGTCTGGTTGGGGTTCAGGGCCATGACCTGCACCGTGATGGAGTTGCGGGAGATGGTGCAGCCCAGCCCCGGAGGCCAGACTTTGTGGGTTTGCATGTGTTTCTTCACGTTGGACTTCTGGGCAAAGGCTCGGCCACACACGATGCACTGGAAGGGCTTCTCCCCTGTGTGACTGAAGGCAGAAGGCACCGTATCAGCAGCCGGCAGAGAGAGGAGGCAGCCCCCGGGCAGGGACCGTGGTGGGGCGGCTGCTGCAGGACTGCACTAGGAACTCTCTGCTTAGCAGATCAGCACCTGGACCAGGTTGGATGAGGGCTTTCAGACCCCATCAACCTGAGTAAGACGACGGTCAGAGGCCTGGGGGAAACAAGCCTGGCACATATATGCAGTGCTCACAGTCTGGGGGTAGCAAGGGACCAAAGGAAGAAGTGGGAGAGGAAAATAGCTCTGCAGCAACATCAGGGCATTCGGTTTGGGATTTCTGCATGGACCCCTGGGACCCCGTCATTCTTTTCAAGGGTACAAGCCTCTTCTTCCCCGTTACCCCTCCCTCCCCTGCACACGTGGCTTCTAACTTGGAGTCCCCCAGTCTCTCTGAATTTGCTCCCTGCTGTGCACAGCAGAAACATCCTTCTGCCCTCCTCTGCTGCAGGAGAAAAAGCTGGTTCTGAGCATGCCACCTGAGGAGTCCAGGATGGGAAGGGGAGCAAAATCACCCCTTGTTCCTTCTCACCTGTCCTGAGCTCAGCAGTCTCCACTGGAGAAAATGCTGAAGAGTTCAACTGCCTCCTGCCAGAGCTCTGGCCCTTGTAAGAGCTCCCCATGTAGACGCTGGGCTTGGTTTATGGTTTGCTAATAGCAGCCCTCCTGCAAGCAGGAAGCAGCTTGCGATGGAGAAGGAAAGGGCAGAGGGAAGCAGTGGAGATGACACTGCTCCAGCAGTCAGGTAACAACAGCTGTGGCTTTCAAGGTCTCATCAGTGAGGAAAGCAGGCTCCAGTCTCAGCCCATAATCAGCAAGATCACGTCTACAATGCAGCCTTCAGCCCAGCTCCTGAACTGTGAGGGAGAGCCTGGAGGTAGGGGGATGAAGGATGACCTCCCAGTGCAGCATGGACTCTGGGAGACACGACAAATGCAAGGTCTGCTGGGCTGTGCAGCCGTCCCTCAGCGCTCCTGTGCCCAGGATCCACCCCAGGCACTCTGCTGTGCCCGGCCTAGCATCACCCTTACCTTCTGATGTGCTGCTGCAGGTCAAAGTTTTTGGTAAAGGCCTTGTCGCAGTAAGTGCATTTCAGCTTGGGGGACTTTGGTTTCCCTGAAAGAGCAAGAGTGTGCAGAGGAATGAGACGGTGTGGCATAACCTTGCCTCCCCCTGCACTGCAGGGCCCTCACCCCAAGACACGACTGTGCAGGACCAATAATAAAGGGCTCGTGGAAGGATAAGATCTGCCTGGCCAGACCAGGGAGAGGTTACGGGACAAGCATGTATTTAACGTAGCCTGAGCTAACTCTATAAGCACTGAGGAGAACAGAAGTGGGGGACAGGGAATCCCTTCTGGGAATTAACCACTCCAGGGACCCTTCGAGCTACGCTACAGAGTAAAGGCACGTTGGGTGTTAGGAAAAGACACAAGATCAGTGAGAGGAAGGGCCCCGGTTCTGTCTCTCTCCTATGAACTCACCAAGGTCAGCCATCAGCCAGAGCACATGCATATTTCTCCCCTCCAGAAGATCAGGCAGCCACATCTTCTGTCTACTACGATGGGGTATAAACCAATGGAAAACAGCAGAGCCGTGGGCTGCTCTAGGAAACTCTGCACTGAGAGCTGCAGCCTGCACGGTCGTTCACAGCTCTGCAAACAACGTTAAAGCCTGGTGTTGGTGTAACTCTACGGGCACCGCCTTCCTGGAGCAGCTTTCCTCCACCTCGTGCTTGGGACTTCCCTCGTCACTGGGCTACACTCATGGCCACCGCACCAGTAAAGGGCAGGCTCTGACCAGTAACGGGCAGCGGAGGATCTGGGGCTCCTCTGTGCTGGGACTGGGCATGCCCCTGTCCTTCCTCACCTGGGAGCGTGTTGTGTTCACAGACAGCGATACACCCACACACCCTGTGGCTGGGCATTATTGCTTTGGAGAACAAGAACCAAGCTTTAACACCCTATTTCGCAGAATCTCCCCGTTTTCAAGCGTGATCCAATCGGCGCGGAGCCACGCAGGTTTAGCACAAGCACTGGGACAGTCCCTTCACGAGCGCTCAGAGGTGACGAAGAAGCACATCCACATTTTCACCTGCTCCTGCCAGCCTGGGGCAGGGCTTGGTGTCCTCCCAGGGAGCTGCAGGCGCAGCCGGTGCCACCCCACTGCACCCAGAGAGCCCGTGGCACAGGACAGGCGCGGCATCCTGCAGCCTGGCACAGGGCAGCTGCCATGAGGACTCTTACCTTCCTGCAGCCCACTCTCGTTTTTGGATCGCCTACTTTTGACAGCGGAGGTGGAATCAAAACCAACCACATTGCCTCCTCCTGAGCCGCTCAGAGGCGCGGGAGCACCGGTGCTCTTGGACTTGAACCCCTGCTTCCCAGGGCTGTACACAGGGGGAGAGGGGTACACGGGGCTCTCCACACACTGGCTTGGTACCTGCAAGAGTTCAGTTCTCAGAGAAAAGAGGCTTGCTACGCAGCACAGCTCCTGCCACCCGCCATCTCCAGCAGCAGCTGCCCCACCAAGCTGGGAGTCTGGCTGAGCTTTCTCCCCCCACCAAACAACCAAATTTCTGGTTCAGCAATCCAACGGTGTCTCTCTAAAACAACGCGCACAGTGCAAAACTCTTGCTGAACACCACAAAGTAGCCGGGAGTGATTACAGCAAGAACAGAACAGCAAAGAAACTCTGAAGGAGTCCTCCGGTACCCAGCTATGCCTAGTGCCTGCAAGAGTTTCTCATCCCTTCAGAGCAGGGGACCAGGACCACCACCGCTGAGCCTGTGGGCTCACAGCACCCTGAGGGGGCCTGCAGAGGGGAAGGAGGAGCACAAGAAAACACCAGGTGGCAAAGCAGAGCTGCTTGCATCAGTGCTGCTCCTAGAAATGGACGTTTGGAGTAAAAAAGTCCAGGGTGATTTGGGTTCGGGGCGTTTCTGTTTCCCACCCCGATAAATGCAGTGCCAGCTATCCAACACCCCCGCCCGTTTCTGAGCACTCATCTCGCTGACACCTTTCTGATCAGCACCTCTTCCCAGAAGAAATAAGCACGGGCAGATAACCTGCCATACCCTCCCCGTCTCTAACTCAGTGTTTCGAGCCCAGGCGACCCCCGAGCAGCGCTGCAGCCTGACTGACCCAGGAGGACGGAGCCCCGGGCTCAGCCTTACCTCCATGGGCGGGTAGGGCTGCATGCCCAGCGCCTGGATCTCCACCGAGCTGTTTGCTGCCAGAGGAGCAGGAGCGCTGTACACTTCGACCACGCCGCCGGCGCTGGGCTGACCCGGAGCCCCCAGGCTTGGCGGGGGAGGCGGTGGGGGCTGAGGAGGAGGCGGTGGAGGGGGAGGTGGTGGCGGGGGGGGCTGCGAGAGGTACCCAGCCCCAGCGTGCATACTCAGGCTGCTCTGAAACCAGAACAGGGAAAGACAGACAGACAGGACATTGAAAACACAGCCCAAGGGTAGCAGCAGGAAGCTGGAGGGGCTGTTCCCTCACACACGCTCCCAGCCCTGACACAAAAGGGCACCTCCAGGAGCAGCGGGGGTGTCTCGACACAACACAGCGCGGTCCAGCCATCAGGTTGGATCAGACCACGCTGCTTTGGCCTGTCAGCAGGCACTGCCTCCTCCAGAACTCAAGCATCCAAACCCAATGCTTTTTTTTTTTTTTTTTGCTTCGTTTCTAAAGCTTTTAATCCTCATGATTACAAAAGACCTTTTCAGAGCAAGGGGAGTGTGGCCAGCCTGGGCAGCCCTGCGGAGAGCCCAGCACAACCATCCCAGGAGGGAGATGCATGAGGCAAACTGACAAGGACCCTGAAAGCCAACCACAGTCAGTGCAACAGAAAGCCAGGGACACAAAGACTTGGGCATCCAGCAACAGGGATGCCAGCAGAGAGCAGGCCCTGCAGTTACCCTGTCACCAACCCCATGCTCCTACCCGGGGCTGGCTGTCCCACTGCAGGAAGGTGCCCGGGACCCCACCTGGAAGCAGATCACCAGGCTCTGATCACCCAGCTGGGTTTTCCTGCTGCCCAACCACAGCCCCGAGCCCCTCACCTGCACCGGGGGCTGCACGGCGGGCATGGGCTGGTCCAAGGACGTGAACGCAGACATGGCCGACATCAGCACCTCGTCGCTAACCAGGATGTTCCCCTGCACCAGGGTCTGAATCAAAGGCGATGGGGGAACGGTGATGTACGTAGAAATTTGCTGGAAGACAAAGAAACAGAACGATGCACTGCTGGCCAGCAACGGGACAGAATAATAAACGCAGAAAAATGATGGCACTACTTTCTGCTGTGCCTCTGAGTCTCTGCTATCCGCTGACCAGAGGCTGTGAAAAGCCACAGTAATGATCTATGGGTCCCTAATAGCTCCTAGCTGTAACAATAAGGCAGCTCCAGGAATGTTCTTCATTCAGAAAAGGAGGTATAAAAGATGACAGTGGCTTGAGAAGGTGCCCACTGGCTACAGCTAAAATCTGTGGTTATTAAAGAAGATCTGTGGGACAAACCGGTCACAGACAAGCTCAGGCTTTCACTGGACACCTCCCCCCAGCGAGGAAAGGTGGAGAACAGAGGGAGGCTGCTCCAGCTCCAGATGGCGAAGTTGTTTGCAGGAGACTGAGAGAGGGATGCAGGGAGGAGGCTGCACAGACGCTGCCCTCCTCTTCTGCCCATGAGCCAGTGAGACCTTCTCCCCCCTGAGCACTGCGCAGCGAGCACCCAAGCATGCTGCAGACCTGCCAGGTGGTGACGCTGGGGCTCCTGAGCAGAACCAAAGCCTGGCTGTAACACAGACACGCTGGGAAACACTTCCCAGCCAGAAAAAGGGCTATCAGCAGAAAAAGGGCTATCAGACGCTGGGTGCTGAAGGCCACCTCACTGCAGAGGACCAGGCAGATTTAACCATGAGGTGCCAACAGCACTGCGACTGACAGAGGTCAATCGTGAGGCGTTGTTGGACCTAAAAGCCTCACACAGGGTACCCCGACTCCCAAAATCCGGGTGGCAGAGCCTGCTGGCCTGCAGCACGGTACCTGTCGGCTGGCGCTCGGAGCCTGCTGCACCGCTGTGATGGGGGGGCTGTACACGCTGCTGCTGGCCAGAGAGACTGTTGAGAGGGAAGGGGCACTTCCCTGGCACTGCTCTCTCTTGTGGGTCATGAAGGCAGGCAAGGAGTTGAACTGCTTCTTGCACTTCCCACACAGGAAGACGTCTTCATCATCTGCAAGTAAGAGAAACAGCTCCCTGCTGCCGGCCGCGCTCAGCATTCCCCAGAGCTGCACCCGACAACCACAGCAAGGAAAGGCGAGGCAGCAGACGCCTGCTGTGTCTTGGCACCTCGTGGACATCATCGTCAGGAGACATCAGGTGCATCCGTCCTTCTTCCCGATGCCAAGCTCTCCCCACAGCCAGCTGATGCGGACGAGCCAGCCTTGGCTGCGCTCCCACACACAAACCCTGCTGTCACCCTCTGACAAGCTGAATCCCATCACCTGTCCTCTCATCCCAAAGACGTGATCAAGGAACCCAGCCTTGCTCCCCCAGCAACTTCTGCTGTTAAAATAGCTTCTTCCGAAGCATTTGCATTAGCCTGGCTGAGGCAGATTTTATTGCTCAGGTTGCACAAAGGATGAGAAATGCAGCAGGGCACACAGGGGAGGGCGGCTTCTGTCTGGGACCCACCCCCAACAAGACCTCTGGTCTTTGGTGCCTCTGCTTGGTATTAGAGGCAGGAGGAGACCACAGCCCAGTTATCATTAGCCTAGATGAAACTTGCAGCACGAGCAAATCACATAAGCTCACACCACTTTTCACTTGAACCAGTCAGACTCAAACCTCTTGGAAAAAATAATATTCTGTGGCTCACAAGGTGGACCTCCTGTTTGGGGACACGGCCGTAACTTCTGCAGGAGCACAGCGCAGACTGGGCACTGCAAGAGGCTCTTTCTCCCATGGGATCCCTCAGGAACTCACTATCTAATCTGATCTGATCAGCAGTCACACAAGGGGAAAAAGGGGAAAAAGGGGAAAAAGGGGAAAAAGAAAAAACACACTCACGGGGAAAGGCGCAACGTATGAATCTACTGAACTGGCTGGTGCCAAACTGCCAGCCTGCAGCACGCGGGGAGCCTGGGGATAAAGCACCCCCCATCCTAGTCGAGCACTGGGAGTTTGTGAGTGCATGTGTGACTGCACTGATACATCCCCAGGGGATAAGGAATGGCTCATTAAATAAAAAAAATACGAACACGCAGTCATGGCAGAGAGCGGCTGCTCCCTCCTTCCGTGCCTTTAACGGAACCATGTAGCCCAGTCTAACGCCTGACCTGCCCCAAAGCATTTCTGCTTGCCCAGGTGCTTGCTCTGCTCCTTCCTCCTGCTCTGCCAGGCCCCGCTGAGGGGTCACAACGCTTCCAGCAGCGCCCTACACAAGCAGGGTGCCTGGTCTGATAGTCACAGAGCACACCATGGGAGGAGACCCCCAGCCCACCACCCCTCGCCCGTCTCTCCCCCACTTCGGGACTCACCCATGGGCGGGATGGCGGTGGAGGAGCTGACGCTCTGAGCAGACGGGTCTGTCACTGCTCCCTGACCATCCAGCAAGGACTGCACGGCCAGCACCGTCTGGTTATCCATTCCTGGAAGGAGACAAAGCACAGGGGGTGAATCGGGTGTGGTGTGAACACAGAGCACCTGGGGACCGGGGGCTTGCTCACGACGAGTTGCGGAGGGAGGTGTTCCCCACAGAGCCCCTCTCACCTTCTCACCACCCTGCTCCATGGGCAGTCACGCTACAGCAACGCTCCCACCTGTCCTTTGGTACAAGGAAAGGGAAGGGAAGAAGGGCAAGAAAGCTGAGAGAGAGCTTCATTTCAGGCACGGGTTGCAGTGAGGAAGGATGCTTGCAGACAGCAGGTAGGAAAAGAGCTCAGAGGCGGATATTTGGGATGTCACGGGCCATGCAGCCCATGTAGGGGCTCTCTGGGAACACAGTGGGACACAGCAGAAGCAAGCCACCAAGCTCGCTGACGATGAAATGCCCGGGGTGCAGCCACCTGGATTCAGCCCGCACCTGAGCTCCTGTGCGGTGCAGGAGAAACACCTCCCTGTGCTCAGGGTCAGCGCTCCTGGATCCCATCAGACACAGGGCTATGAACTACAGGAGGATTCAGAGACAGCATTAAAAAGAACAGATCAAGCACGGGCTCCTTGGAGAGATGCTCTGAGCAGACCTGGCTCAGCCACTTACGGGCGGGCAGGACCACAGCTCCCGCTGCCCCCAGCGCGGAGCCTCCGCGGGTGCCTCTCCCTCAGAGCTGCCGGTGGCTCTGTCACTTCCAGCTCCCCCGGGACTCCCTGAGCACATGCACACCCAGGCAGATTTGTTGTCAGAATGAGCTCGCTTGCTTTGGCACCAATATTTGTCACCACAGCTAACATGTTGTAAAACACTCTAGATGAACACCGGAGTGGGGCCGGCTCGCCTCGGGACACAGCCGGCCAGCAGCACGTGGCCGGCGCATCACAGCCCGTGCACCCCTTCTCTCTTTAGAAATCACAGGGGAAGAATCAGAGAACAATCTGATCATGAAAAAAATAGCTAAAAGGGGTGATTTTTAATGCACCACTCCTCTCTACCAATTCCCTTACCACAAGAAACCCGTGAATACAATAAATGGCACGCCAAGGCCACACGTGGAGATTAAGGGGCAAAGCGGGAGGGGAGAGTTCATTGATTGCTTTTTACTTTTCATCAAGATCTTTGCAGATCTGGAAAAAAAAAGAAACCTGTAAAGCTCTGAGTAACTCTGAACTCAGGATTACACGCTGCAGTGAACAGCAAGTGTGTCCTGTGTGCTCATTTTCAAACCGTGCCGGTGAGCGTGGTACCCGACGAGAGGTCCCCTGGCCAACAGCACCAGGAAGGGAAGTAAAACACCCAACGGAGTCCCGCATAAAAGCACGGCACAGCAGAAGCAACAGCCTCATTTCACCATTACGGGTTCCTCTTGCCATTTTAGCATTGCTCCTGGACAGCAAGGATGTCACCTCCCCAGCGGGAAGCACAGGCAGGACCCGCAGCATTTTAAAGACACTCTAAAAACTCGTTTCTCCTGCACCTCAGGCACGAAGCGATTAACAGCGGGACTCCACGAGTGCCTTCTCCATCCATCATCTTTCACCAAGGAGAGGTCACAAACACCTCCTTGGCGGGACAGCACCATTATGCCGGGGAGCAGAGGCACGAGCAGATGATGCCGCCTTACACCCTCCTGTAAAATTACCCCCACACCGACGGGAGCCCTTGGACATCGCTGACGGAGGCACAGCGCAGCTGCAGGGCCCGTTCTGCAGCCCCTTTCTCGGCACGGAGAGCCAGTGTCCCTCCCGCAGGCCAGCTCCGCCAGGCACCACGCCGCTGGATCCTGGCAGGCTGGCGTTAAAACCCAAAACCCACCTCCTGCTCTGCACAGCATCTCCTGGGCAACTGCAAAGGCGGCACTGCGGGCTGTGCTTGGCACATCCAAACCAGAGGGAAGCGGAGCGTGTCTGCGGGGGAAGCAAGCTAACGGGACACAGCATAAAACCGGGGATCAAACGCTCAGTGTCAGTGCATAAAGATAAGAGTGGAAATGGTGAACTACTCTCATCTGGCTTGCACCAAGACCACCACGCTCGCTATGCCCAGCACTTCGTGCCTGGGTTTCTTTCTGGCTCTTCAGAGCGAAAAATCCGTGTGATGGCCTCGGTCCGGCTTGCAGGAAGGGGATTAAGGAGAAACCCAAACCTACAGACAGGCAGCGCTGGGGCAGCACCGCATGCGGCCAGGACAACCCGAACAATCGCTCCTCGTCCGTCTCCCTTTTGCACAGACACGCAGGGAGTCCCCCCCGTTTCTCGAGTTAAACGCAGGCTGACACCCGTAACACGGGGCAGAAACCCTACATCCCAGGTTCAGGAACCAAGCAGGCACCGGGCCGGACCGATGCCATCCCCGGGCTCCGTGAGGCAGCTGCGGAGCAGATCTGCACCGAGCACAGCCAGCAGCCGCCTGCGGGATGTCCTTTGGAGCCGTGAGACCTTTAAAAAGCCACCTCTGCCTTCCCAGCAGCAGCAAGCCTTCCCTACAACCTGCCCAAAACACGAGGATCTGAGGGCTGCCAGGCTAAAAACCCAAGGCTGTGGGTTTGACGGGATCCAGGAGGACCGACACGAGCGCACAGATGCCGAGTCACCGACCTGGAGTCTGACAGCGCACAACAGACACCGAGAGCTCCAGTCACTGTGGGCTTGGGAAACAAAACAAAAACCACTCCGCTGAGATGTTTTACCCTCCTGAATTTGGCGATGAAACCCGGCCAGCAGAGAGGGACCGGGGCACACGCGGTGCTGTCACACGCCCCAGGAGACCCAACGGGGCGAAGCATCGCTCCTTGCTCGTCTCCCCGCTGCTGCGGTCGCAGGTGCTGCTCCTAAAGCGGGGCGGTGGTGCCGCTGCAAGGCCTGCCAGCCAGCGGGGTCCCCTCACGTATGGGAAAATCCACTCCGGGGATCCACGCTTTGGGACAGAGCTCGCCTCTAAACGGGCTGACCCCAGGCACAACCCCACACAGCCGGGCGCTGGCCGTGCCACGGAGCCCCCACACGCCCCACAGGGCCACGCACAAACACCCAGGGGTGAGAAGCAGCCTGGGGGCAGGCGGGGGGCACGGCTCAAGCCCTGCTGTGGGGTACAGGGGACACCCCAAAGCTGGGTCGGTGGCCGTGCCCGAGCGTTGCCTGGCACAGGGACGGGGAGCGAGGGGCGCCCCGGGGGCTGGGAATGGGGTGACGGGGTGATGGGGTGCCCCGATGTGTGGGGGGCTGTGAGGTGATGGGGAGCCCCTAAAGGCAAGGTCACGGGGATGGGAAACGTCCCATGGGTGGGTGCAGCAGTGTGCAGGGATGGGGGTGACAGGGTGACAGGGTGACAGGGTGACAGGGGTGCCACAGCACCACCCCAGGGGGGCGATGGGGCCCTAAGGCTGAGGGACACGGGGACAGGGACCCCCAGGGACCCCCAGGGACCCCAGGCAGAGCCGGGTGGGGACAGCAGGAGCGTGGAGGGGGGGACCCGGTGCAGCGGGGGGGACACGGGGCCGGCAGGAGGAGGGGGTCCCCGGGCGGGGAGGGCAGCGGGGAGCCGCGGGGGGGGTGGATGCGGGTTTGGGGCGGGCAGAACCGAGCCGGGGCTGGGCTGGGGGCGGCGGTGGGGGCGCAGCGGGGCCGCCCGTTACCTTCCAGCGCCTCGAAGATCGCCTGCGCCATCTTGGAGCCGGGGCGGGCACGGAGCGAGGGGAGGGGAAGCGGGGAGGGGGCGGCCCCCACCCGCCCGCCCGCCGCCAGGGGGCGGCCCCGTCCCGCAGCCTGAGGGGCCGGGGAGCGGCGGGCGCCATGGCGGGCGGGGGGGCAGCGCCGGGCCCCGCGCCCCGCGTCCCGCTGCGGGCCCTGCTCCGCGCCCTCAACGCCCTCCTCAGGCAGCGCCGCCACCGCGCCGCGCTCGCCGCCATCAAGGGCTTCCGAAATGGAGCCGTGTGAGTGGGACGGGGACATGGGGACGCGATGGGGACGCGATGGGGACGGGGGGGGGCGGCCGGTGGGGGCACCGCGCTCCCTGGGGTGGCTTCTGCTGGGTGCCGGGGGGGCTCGCCCCGCTCCTGGGGTGCTCCCCTGGCGGTGTGCCCGCAAACCTCACCGTATCTCTTCGTTTTCACAGCTACGGGGCAAAAATCCGCGCCCCCCACGCCCTGGTGATGACTTTCCTGTTCAGGAGCGGCAGGTACCGGCCCGCATCACTCCGGCCCTGTTCCCCTAAGGCCCGGGTTTAAGAGCAGGAGGATCCGTGAGCCCACTGCTGTAATAACCAGCAGGATAACTTGTATGGAAATACACAAGTGTATGCAGTGTGCAGGGCAGCCACTTGTCTGGGGGTTGGGCCTTGGCAGAATTAGGCAAAAGCACAGCGTGAGCAGAGCGTTGATTGACCCCCGATGGGTGCCCCCCAGCCCGGTGTGCCCCCCTCGCAGAGCAGGAGGTGTCCGTGGGGTACCAGAGCTGAGGGTGGAGGTGGGTAAGGTCCGGGCTGGTTTTTGGTGGTGCTGCCTGTTCGCTCTCCTAATTGTCTGTTTCTTTTGTCCAGTTTAAGAGAGAAACTGAAGTCGATCGCTCAGGCTACGTACACCCATTCCCGGAACTTGGCGTATTTTGTGTTCACCTACAAGGGGCTGATGGCGTTGCAGTCCTGGCTACAGGGGAAAAAAATCCCATTTCATTCTTTCTTGGCAGCCTGCATTGGGGGTTGGTTAGTGTTTGGTGAGAACAATCCTGTCAACAGCCAGGTAAATGTCTTTGGTGGACGTTGGGTTGACAAAAAGACCAGCGGGTGGGTGGTTGTGTGCCGGGAACTGGCCGGAGTAGCGCGGCATCGTGCTGGTGGTTCTTGCTGTGCAGCAGGACCCCTTCACAGTATTGCTCTTTGCACAAGTTCTCTTTTTGACTGCTCCGCGCTCAAGCAGTAGGAGAGGTGGCTGTGTGCCTCCGGGACAGAGAGTGCAGTTTGAGAGCTAACAGCTCTGCTTGGCCTCCAGAGTTGCATCTAGGACAGCAGGTTCGCAGCCCAAAGCCACCTGGTTCCCCCACACGTTCTCTGAGCTGTGGTAACCGCCTGCCTCTGAGCTCCTGGCCTGCCTGCTTGTAGAGTTAAACCCACGAGCTTGAGCTTTGTCATTTGTAGAGAACGATTGATTACAGAGCTACGCTTAACTGAACTGCTTAAACTGACAAAAGGTGCTCAGGGGGAGTCTGATCCAGAGCTGGTTGTTACTGACTTCAGTTTGGGTCGGAAAAACACAGACACAGATTAATCAGAAGTGTTCTACTTGTGCAATCCCCTGCAAGACAGCACCTTCGGTCTGGTTTTAGGATGTGTCCACGCTACTGAGCCTGTCTGTATCTGCTTGGCAGGGTGACAGGGCTGCTCTGTGGCTATCGGCAGCAGCATCTGGGGTAGTGTTAACTTAGCAAAGATGAAAGTTGTGCAACTGAGCTGCAACTGTGCAAAGATCTGTTGCATCAGGTGTGATTTACTGCTTACTAAATGAGAGCACCTGCAGGGAAGCAAGGCTTTGAGGTCATAAGGAAGACACAAACATCTCCAGTTTAAGATTTTTTGATATGTGAACCTACAGTCCGTTTGCCGTTACGTTGGGTAAACTGTTCCTGCCCCTCTTGCACAGCTTATCCCTTCTAAATCACTTCCTCTGACCAGGTTTACTGGCTAGGTTCTCTTCCTAATGTTCTCTGGGTTTTATCTTTATGCAGATCGTTATGTACCTGCTGTCTCGTATCCTGTTTGGCTTGTCTCGGCTGGCGGTGGAGAAGGGCTATGTCCCGCAGCCCAAGCAGGATCCCTTTCCACTCGTTGCTGCTCTGGTGTGGGGAACAGTTCTCTGGCTCTTTGAGTACCACCGACAGACTCTGCAGCCCTCCCTGCAGGCCTCCATGACCTATCTGTATGACGACAGTAACGTATGGCATGACATTTCGGACTTCCTCATTTACAACAAAAAGCCTGCAAGCGAGTAGTTGGTTCCTTGGAAAACACCTGTGAACATGACGGTACCTAAGGGAAAAGGTTGTTCTGTCGCTCTCGACTGGTTATTATTATTATTTTTTTAATTAACTTCTGTCAAGGAGAGTTGCCTCTTGTGTCCTGACCAAAATGTTCTGATCAGTCTTCTACTAGCTCTGTTTAGAGCGAGTTAATACCCCGCAGAAACTTGTTGCAATGCCTCAGGGAGAGTAAAATGCCTTGGGAACCTTCAGTTAAAATCAGTCTTCTTTTAAAGATGCCTTATTTTTCCTGTGAATGTTTTTTTTTTTGATTGGTTGGGTTTTTGTTTCCTTTTAAGAAAGGAAATATGCTCGTAAAATGGCAGCTTGACAGTAATTGGGGAATAGGTCTAATCATGGAAAAAATGCTCTAGGAGTTGTCTGGGTGCTCACGAGATGGAAGCATTTTTCTGCGCTGCTGTGCTCCCTGTCGTGGGAAGATGGGAGTGGGAGCCCTGCTCGGTTCTGGAAGCTGAGACATAATTTCTTGATTTCTAAAATATTGCAAGGAAGGTTGTGTGCTCCCTAAGAGAGTTCCTCTGCAATCTTTCTTCTCTCAGGGAGGCAATAAGATGTTTGAGAATAAAACTTCTGAGATTCTCTCTCACGAGTCTGGTAAATCAGGCTTGGAAGGAATATTTTTTTTCTCAGTTTCTTTCATCCACTTGGGCTGCATCTGTCTTTCTACCCAGTGCACTAACTTAATACCCTGTAATTATTTAAAACTTATTTGTAAAGCTTTTGAAAGCTGCTTAAATTAAATACCAGAAACAGTTACGCAATTTAAACTCCTTTGAAAACCGGCTGAGGCACATTGCGTGCCCTCGGCTGTCACGCTGGGTACTTTATACGTAGCAGTGAGATGCACTTTCGCTTTGGTGGAAGCCCGTGGGTCCAGAGTCCACCCCCTGCACCAGTGGGACGACCTCGCTGTCATCAAGCTTGAATGTACGTGTAGCTGCTGCAGTCCTGTCGCTGGGCCAGGCTGAGGTCACGCAGGAGTATTCAGGTGGCTCTTCCTTTAAATGCACTGCTGAGCCCCACAAACAGCACGTGCCAGGCCTTCACTGAGGGTTGACTGGCCAGCTGAGAAATGCTCCATTTCATCAAAACAAAAACTTTTCAAGTTGATGAAATCAAACTGTTAACAGCATTAAGCACTGCTAGGTCTGTGTGACACTAATCCATTCGTTCACTTAATGACGGTGTGTAAAACCAGTACGTCAGGAATTATTTCAGTGTGATATCACAAGAGTTAATAAGCTCCCTGTGCTGTTCCCTTTTGTCTCAGTCAATATTATTTGTTTCTTGCTCTTTTACCTTCTCTTGTCTAAAAGAAGTTAGCCGTCTGTGTACACATCCACTTTTCCATCCTGACCTTGTTGTTTCATAATCCCACTGATGGTGCTCTTCATCATTTTTTGCAGTCTCCTCTTTACAATCCAAGCTCTAGCAATTTGTTGTATTTAATGGTGTGACTGGAATAGGAAGTCCAAGTTCAGGTACCTTCTGTGTAGGAAAAAGTTCTTGATATCTTAAAGATGTTTTTCCTTCATCTCGTAAACTTTTTTATTACTACTGTGCATCTTCTGAGTGCTGCTTTGCTTTTTATTTTTCCACGCTCTCTATCACCAAGATGGAGAGTTGAATGTTCCCCTCCCCACAGCCTGTCTGTTGCTGTGAGGTTCAGGATCGAATCACATCCAGAGAGGCTCAGCTTGAGTAGAAATCAAGTCTTCTTTTCAGTCTTGACCTACGTCTGACACTGAGGAGAGCTACGTGTGCTGTGAAGTCTCAGTGCAGAGATGGAAGCATCCTTGTGCTCATCCCATGCAGATCCGTGACTACTCTTCTTTGTGCCCAGAAAACAAGGTATTACCTTACCATCACCTGTGGTCCCTTTACCTGCTGTCATGGTCCGTCTGGAATGTTGGGGTTGGAACACGGAACAGAATTTTGTCAATTTTTCTGGGCCTGGAGAAGTTAGGAACTGTTTTTGCACTTCCTTCTAGTTCAATATTTTCTTTTGTCTTGGTGATCTCAAAGATTCAAGTAGAGGGAGAAAAAAACATGAAGCTGTAGCTGAGTTGTGATTTCTGTGTAAGTATCGTGTCTGTGTTTGCTCCGCTGGTGGGTGCCTGAGGCAGGGTGTCCTGACAGGGGCGTGCTGCACCTGACCTTTGTGGCAGAAACCTCAATGTGGTTCTGAACGAGCGTGTTAATATTGAGCTAATGTTGCTGAACAACCTTTGGTGGGATTTGAGAAAACCCTTCCAGAATCTCAGAGCAATGGCTTGAGAATTTCTTCCTAAAACTGTTAGACTGACAAACCCCAGGCCACATGCAGTTACTGCAGCACACGCTGCGGCCTGGCTCACACGTGAGCTGTGTCTATTTGAAGTTTTTAACATTTTGAACAAATTGCCAATGTTCTTTCAGGAGAAGGGCTTACAGTTCTCTTCCACGTGAGCTGATGTGCTTCTGCTAGTCGTTGTGAAGTCAGAGGGAAATGTCCTTTTTGTGCTGCCACACGCAGTACCTCTGTCCTCTCTAGGTGGCAGAATCAAGCCAACAGCAGGGCTCCAGCAGCAACTTGGCAACTGGCCGCCGGTCGTCCTTGGTTCAAACTGCCCTTTTTCTCTTGGGAATCTACCGCCAACCTCACTTTCAAAGTAAATCGTGCCTGAGACTCCAACCATCTGTACTGGTGACCCAGGAACCAGCTGCTGTCCCTGGAAGCGAAGTGCAGCTCGTCCCAGGAGCAGGTTCTGTGCAGCCGCCGTTCGCTGCGCTTTGGGGGACGGTTTGTGCTCCTGCTGTGTGCGGGCAGGGCGCTAAGCTGCAAGTCACTCCTTTCCCCGGGGAGGTAATTGGGACGGTTCCTTAACGGCATTAGTGCACGTTGCCTCTTCTGCCACCAGATAGCTGGGGCCGGACCCCTTATGCTGCCGATGTGCCGGAACAATGCGGGCGTGTAGTAAGGAAGCGAACTAGAAGTAATTTGTCTGAGTCAGACTTTTGGATACATAAGTGACACTCCCTGCCCTCCCCCAGCGCATTGTGTAAGGAATTGAGTCCCCTGTTTGTGTTCCTTTTTATTAGCATTAAAACCAAAAGGAATAAAGAGACAGTTGGGAAGCCACCTGCGAATCGGCCGAATGCTGAAGGAATCACAAAGGAGAGCCGTTTTTTCTCCCCGACCCTGATCAGTTTTGAATTTTAAGATGAACATGCTTTTGTTTGTCTACGTCGACCTTATTTCCTCTTCTTATTTCTTCTCAGCCACCTGACTCTGAGATGCTGAGCGCCTCGAAAGAGGAGCAGGGCATCTCCATGTTTAGCTCGGTTTGTCAAAAATCAGGATTTCTGGATAAAACCGGTGTGTTCGTTTTAAATTGATGCTCCTCCTTCAGATTTTAAGCCTCTTTTACAGAGGGAACTTTAAAGGTTAATGAATTGAACTGATCAAAAGTTTTCACCAAGCCTTGACTCTGTATCCTGAGCTATTAATCATTTATTTTATGAGTGAACAAAGCGAGCTGAGGGTTATTTACAGCCGCCGCATGCTGCCCTGGCATACCTGCTGTGCTTCACTTCTCTTTGGAAAATTGCTCTTACATTAGTGTGCTTTTTCAGGATTGCTGAAGGAAACATGTCCGGGACAATTACATTATTTAACAAGGGTGAAAGCTGAATGGGTGCGTGATATTTGGTTTAGCTGAGGTACTGCATCTGATCTGTGCAGTTCAGGAGAGGGTCATTCTGAAAGAAAAACTGCAGAAGATCTTTGGTGTCGGTGCTGCAAGACTTCCTTGCCCCGGTGGAGAAGTTTAAGCTCTGCTTTAAACCGAGCTGGGTGTGGGGTGGCAATGATGGGATGGCCTCAGGCTCCTGAAGCAGACCAAAAGCAGGTGTTCAGAACATCCCCCCTGCACCCCGAGCTCTGCAGCCAGCTGGGAGCCTTCGTGGATGGCTGGTGCTAGTGAAGGAACCAGTAACCACTGCGGGTATCCTCTCGAAGGAGAAACTGGTATGACTCAAGCTCATTTTCACTGCCTCAGCACAAACACGACCTTTGGAAAATACCCTGAGCCGCGCACTGTTTCCTATTTGTCAGGTTGTGTTTGTCTGCCTGGATCCTGCTAACCTGAGCAGACTGTGCTCGCCTTTCTGGTGCTGGTTTTGAAATCCACCTGATAAGGAGTAGAAAAAACGAGGCGTAATGCTGCCCAGTGCCATGTCTGGCTGCCACTGTTAGTGTTGTAGGGGTGCTAATCTTGAATTCTCAACCTGTGTGTTCACACCAGATTGTTGGAGGAGGTAACTTTTTCTCCTTTACTTAGAATTTGCTTCTCTCTCATTTCTTTATGAGACTAGTGATGAGGAGGGGAGGAACAAATTAAATGCTCTGTAATGCAAATATTGTTACCTCTGGTTTTGGCCTCGCTGTATTTTGCATTCATAATTGCCATGTAGTCCAGGTCCTGATTGTCGGATGGCGTAGGATAACACTAAGTCCATAACCTCAGGTAACTTGTGATGATGCCAATCAGAATGCTTGTGGCAACTCCCCGGTGGGTTTAAGCAGTGTGGAGGAAGGGGCAGTGGGGCTGGAGTAGCTCTGTCTGCTGTGAATCAGCTTCCTGTGCAGCCGGTGCAGCAGTCAGCCTGCTGTAAGATTTCTGCTCACCTCCTTTGCAGATTATTTCTGTATAGTTGGGTTTTGAAGATCATGTTGTGCTTTCTATAATAATAATAATAAACTAATTTTTTGACTTTTTTTTTACTGTCATCATTATGAAGCTAAAATATTTAAAGTAATGCTTAATTACTGCGTGCTACTAGTCCTGCCTGCAGAGAAGTAATGCACAGAGGGTTTTTTGAATGAGCCGTGCCCTCATGTTACCTGCTCCCAAAAGCCAGCGCTGGATTTACCAAGCCACCAGCCTGACCTGCTGCAGCCCCTGGGAAGGATCCCATCCCCAGAGACAAACTGGGGTGGCTGTCGTCTTCCTGAAGCACGAACTTCCCCCTGTACTGGCTGCTTGGACCTCTCAGGTGTTGCTGTATCTTCAGACCAAGTGAGTCAAACTGGGGCTGGGCTGCACGATTCGTGACGTGTGCCGACTGGACGTGCTCGGTGTGAGCAGGAATGAACAGGACCGGCTCTTGCATTGCAGCATGAAGTCAGCCTGGCTCCTTTGGGCTCCCTGGGGTGGTTTTAGGGCAGGCTGCTCCCTGGTACCTTGCAGCCCATCGCTGACGTGGGCAGGTGGCTTCAGAAAGCGTGCAGCTTCCAAAGAACACAGGGCTGAGTCTGCCTCTCCCATTAGCTAGGAAAAATAAGGACTTACATAAATGATCTGGGTGCCTCTTTAGAGCTGAGAGCTACAGAGGAGGTGTGCCATGGAGGTAAAAGGAAACACGGAGAACCTCTTCTTGGTGCCACCAGCTGAGCAGCTCCTCTCCTCGGTGTCTCTGTGCCACCAGCTGAGCCAACTCACCCAGAGCAGCAGCAGGATGCCCGCTGGAGGAAGTCGTGCGGGTGCGGTTGTGCCGGTGTGCGAGCTGAGCACAGCTCACAGCTCACAGCTGCAGAGAGCGGGGCCGGGCTGCAGCTGGCAGGGACAGTAAATGCTTTGGGGGTTCTGCGTGCTAAGGCTGGATGAGCTCGGGGTGCTCCAGCCCGAATCGGGAATGAAGCAGCATCCTCTGCATCTTGCCAGCTGCACGCATGAAGGAGGTGTGCCTGGCAGGCAGGCTGCAGGCCCGCACAGCCCCTCTGGCCTCTCCAAACACAAAGCACTGTTTGGGTCCAGCCTGTTCCTGCAGGTTGCATCCTTCCAGCCCTCCTTGCTGCGTGCTCCCACAGCCGGGAGCTGCTTGCACACACCTGCTTTGGAGGCAGCCAAAAATCATGACAGCAATGGGATAAATCCCGCTGGTGTCCAGAGCGTGAGGAGCCCTCCTGACCCTGTCGGTGATGGAGTGGGCTGCAAGAGCAGCAGCCCCTGCAGCTGTGCCGGGGGGATTCATCTGCATGCAGGGGAAGCCCCCGTCCCCCTCTCCCCGCAGCATTTGCTGCAGTGACGCTTTGCCTCCCGGTTTGCCTCCCGTTTGTCCTCGCATCTGCCCTTTTCCAGCACCACCTCGCAGATTTGGCACCGCGGCCCCGTGGCACAGCCAAGCCGTGCAGGGGGGGGTGGGCACGGTGCAGGGCTCAGCCTGCTCCTTCTGAATAAACCTCCCTGTGAATTGGGGGGGGGGGATAAAAATAACTAAATAAACGCTCGGGCTGCCAGCCCCCCCAGCTGCCCCCGGCCTTTGTGTGTGTGTGTGAGGGAGCAGCTGGTGCGGCAGCTGCCTCCTGCCAAACCCTGCCTGGCCCGGCCGGGGCTCCCTAGGGACGGGCAGCTCCTGGGGTGGGCTTTGTGCGTGTCCCCCCCCCGGCAGCTCGCAGGCAGCTGCTCCGACTGCTGCTGGCGGGACACGGCAAGGGCCCAGCAGCCCAGCGGGGAGCCCTGCCCGAGCCCTGCCCCTGCAGGGGGGCGGCAGCGGCTCCGTGCGGGGCTGGGGGCTCCCGGCCCGGCCCCACCGCTCCTCGCCCCAAGCCCCCCGGGCCCCCGGGGGCGTTTTGGGGTCGGATTCCCTCGTTTTGGGTTCTCTGAGCTCTGCCCTCCCACGCGGGGCTGTTATCAGGGCCCTGCAGCCGGGGGTGCCGGCGGGGGGCGCGGCCCTGCCCCTCCCTGCCCGGCTGCCGGGCCCCGCGGCGGGGCCGTGCCCGTGGCCGTGCCCCCGGGGCCGCTCCGGGCGCGCCGTGCCCGCGGCCGCCGCCGCTTCCCCTTTAAGGCGCGGGCGCGCTCCGCGTCCCGGAGCCGCCCCGCGATTGGCCCCCGCCTCGGCTCGGCGCCTCGGATTGGCCGCCTGTCAGCGCGTCCGCCGCCGCCCCGCTCGACCAATGAGCGGCCGGCACCACCCCTCTCCCCGACGGCTCCGACCAATGGGGCGCCTCCGTCCGAAGGGCGCAGCCAATGGGCGGGCGCGCCCAGCCTGGCGCCGCTTTCGCGGCAAAAAGGATTTGGCGCGCAAAGGCGCGCGGGGCCGGAGCGCGGGGACTGCCCGGCGGTGGCGCGGCGCGGAGCGGCCCCGCGCCCGGCATGGGGCGCGCCCCGGCCCCCGCCCCGGCCCCGGCCCCGCCGCCCGGCCCCTGAGCCATGGCGGCGGCGGGCGGCTCGGCGGGGCTGGCGGCGCTGCTGGGCAGCTCCTCCCCGCACCTCCTCATCGTCTCCTCCGCCGAGGAGCCCGCGGGCGGCTGCCGCCCCGACGCCGACCTCCTGCTCTTCGCCACGCCGCAGCCCGCCCGGCCCGGAGCCGCGCCCCGCCGCCCGGCACTGGGGCGCCCGCCGGTAACCCCCGGGACGGGGCGGGTGCGGGGTGCGGGGAGCCGGGGGGGGGTTGGGGCGGGTGCAGGGGGGCGGCGAGGGGCCGGGCCGGGCCGTGCCACGCGGTGCCCCGCGGGCCGAGCCAGGCCCTGCCCGGCCCCGGCGCTCCGGAAGCCGCGGGCGGGGGCCGCCTCCTGCCGGGGGGGGGGAGGCAGCGCCGAGAGCCCCGGGGGGAGGCCCGGGGGGGGGGGCCGGGTGCCGGCCGCCCCGCTCAGGAGCCCCTGTCCCGCAGGTGAAGCGCAAGCTGAATCTGGAGAGCGACCACCAGTACATAGCCGAGAGCCTGCCCGCCGCCCGCGGCAAGCCCAGGAACCCCGGCAAAGGTACCGGCACCGGGCTCAGACCTCACCGCGCCGCGTCCCGGGGTCAGGCTGGGCCGGCTGTGACCGCGCTGTCCCCAAACTGCGCCGCTGTGCGCTGGGCTGGGGACAGGGACCCCCTGCAGGGGCCGCCCTGCCCAGCTGCGGGGCTCTGTCCCTGCCCCTGGGGCTGTCCTTGTCACCGCAGCCTCCTGCACGCACCCCTGCCACCCTGCAGTGTCCCCGTGTGAGCCACCAAGCCCAGGCCTTGGTGCCACAGCCCAGCTCACGCTCGCAATCGAGTGCAGCTGGCAGAGCCCTGCCCCAGGGTCCCGCAGCAGCCTTCCTGGGGAGGACCCTCCTGTCCCCAAAAAATAGACCTTGGGGTCATGCGGAGCGAGGTGGCACCGGGGTGGTCTGGGGACCTCCCGGCTCCAGGGCTGGGTTCCTGCAGTGGCTGAATGCTGCTTGTCCTCGCCCGCTGGCAGGGGCGAAGTCTCCCGGGGAGAAGTCCCGCTACGAAACCTCGCTGAACCTCACCACCAAGCGCTTCCTGGAGCTGCTGAGCAAGTCGCCCGACGGCGTGGTGGACCTCAACTGGGCGGCCGAGGTGCTGAAGGTGCAGAAGAGGCGAATCTACGACATCACCAACGTCCTGGAGGGCATCCAGCTCATCACCAAGAAGTCCAAGAACAACATCCAGTGGCTGTACGTCCCCGGGGACGGGGTGGGGGACGCTCGGAGCAGTGGCGGTGATGACCGTGGAGATGGTCGTGGGGGGGTGCTGGCTGCATGGGACAGCCAGGGGGGAGGTGACAGCCCCGTGTGTCCTGCAGGGGCAGCCAGGCCGCCGCGGGGGCCTCCAGCCAGCACCGGCTGCTGGAGAAGGAGCTGCGGGAGCTGCAGGCGGCCGAGCGGCAGCTGGACGACCTCATCCAGACGTGCACGGTGCAGCTGCGGCTGCTCACCGAGGACCCCGCCAACCAGCAATATCCTTCCGTGCGGGGCCGGGCCGGGTCTGGCGGGGTTGGAGGGCTGGGGGCGGTCGAGCCCCGGCGCCTGTGGTTGCCCATGTGGGGCTCGGTGCGTGAAGGCGTCCCCGTGTCTGCTCCTTGACCCGCCACACCGCAGCCTACGTCACCTGCCAGGACCTCCGGAGCATCGTGGACCCCTCCGAGCAAATGGTGATGGTTATCAAAGCCCCCCCGGAGACCCAGCTCCAGGTCTCGGACCCGACGGAGGTGAGTGGGGGCCCTCCCCGGTCCCTCCCCGGCTCTGCAGAGCCCTAGGTAACCCTCCTGGGCTCCCTGGGTGTTCCCCCCGCACCGTGTCTCACCCGTCCTGCCTTTTCCCCAGGCTTTCCAGGTCTCCGTGAAAAGCACTCAGGGCCCCATTGACGTGTTCCTCTGCCCCGAGGACAGCTCGGGGGTCTGCAGCCCCGTCAAGAGCCCCTTCAAAGCGCCTTCAGAGGAGTTGTCCCCCGGCTCGTCGCAGCCCAGAGCCTCCCCTCTCCTGCATCCCGCCCAGGACATCAACATGCCGCTGCTGCCCGGCGAGCAAGGTGGGCGGCGGGGCTGGGGGCAGTGCCTGGGCTCTGCGGCACAGGGACAGCGTCCTCAGCATGGCTCAAGCCCCATGAGCCTTGGGGGTGAGGGTGCGGGGCTGCAGGCGATGCTCGGGCTTTGTTTTTGCTGCCTGTTACGGGTGGCTTGGCCTCCGTGCTCGTGTTTCCCTGGCTGCCCACCGGCAGCGATGGTCTGCGCCGTGCTGAGCTCGGCAGAGGCAGCCTTGGAGGTGTGTGCCAAGGAGAGGTCGCTGGGCCTCTCCATCCCGGCACCCCATGAGCAGTTCGGGCCACGCTGTCCTGATGACCTGGATGTTTCCAAGCTCTTCAGGTCATGCCATGCGTGCTTTATTGGTGGTGGTGCAGAGCATTGCCCAGAGGTGCCGTTCCGTGGTGTGTCATGGGACTGAGAGTCGCTTTGTGTCCCCACAGAGGCCCTGCTGCCAGGCGCCAGCGTGCTGCCCAGCAAGTGTCC